CCCTAAGCTGTCAGCTGTTATTACTGATTATATAAGCAAATGGCTTATTAATTTGCTTCTACCACACTGCTGGAAGAGGTCAACGATTCAAACTCACCAAAAGCTCCTCAGAAACCTATATAGGGTTTCTATGAGTTGGAACCCACATGACGGCCCTTAACAGTGAGACAAAAACACATTCTCTTGAACATTAACCGAACATCTTTTCTGACATTTTCACGTGCACTCCTCAATTTGTATGGTTGCGAGTTCACTCAAAACACTCATGTTGTTTCTGTTAACAATTGTTGTTAAGTGCTGTTGAGTCTGTTCTGACTCATAGCCACTGTATATAAGGTTTCCGAGGAGTGGCGAGTGGGTTTGAACCACTGACCTTGCAGTTTGTTGGCAGCCCAGTGTTTATCCTACAGTGAGTGCCACAACAGGACCCAAAAATTAACAACTGGGCAGTGGTTAAAGCATTCAAGGCTGCCAACCCAAAAGTCTGTGATATGAAGCCCTCAAACACTCCGTGGGAGAAAGCTGTATCAGCCTGCCTCCTTAAGATTCATTGCTTTGGAAACCTTATGGGGCGGATTTGGTAGCAGTGAACTGCAGTTGACTTGAAGGCAGTGGCTTTGGTTTTGATCTTTACTGACATTGAAGTAATTTCCAGTGCTGGGTAAACCAAACTATGAAATGAGGCTTGGTTGCCTCCTCACCGACCTGAAAAACTGCTGGTAGGGAGGGTAGCTGTGACTGCCCTACCTCCCTCTTCCCAGCCTTGATGGTGTAGAAGGAGCCAGTATCACAAAGAAAGAGCAAAGGTTGGACCGACTTGGGGAAGACAGGGGCAAAGGCGGATCTATAGACAATAGGGCGCACCTGTGACAGCTCTGACCTCTGACGCTATCCTTTAGATGGGTACCATCCTAGCGTAAGGAGCTCTAGTAGCGTAGTGGTTATGAATTGGGCTGTGAACCTCAAGATCAGCAGTTTGAAACTACCAGCTGTTCCACAGGAGAAAGATGAGGCTTTCTGCTCCCATAAAGATTTATACCCTCAGAAACCCTATACAGGGTTGCTATGAAATGGAACCGAGTCCACAGCACATAACTACCACCATCATAGCTTGGAGTTCTAGTGTGGCGCTATAAGCTAAACAAGGTTGGTGGTTCGAACCTATTCACCGCTCCTTGGAAACGATACAGAGTCACTGAGTCAGAACTGACTGGACAGCAAGCACTTCACAACAAACAGGATCATCGGATCAGCTCAAGACACAGTTCAAACATGTCCATCAGTTTCTCAGCAGCTGATGGCACAACTCGAAAGTGACCACAACAACTTTCTTGTCATTTTGGGGTGGGGTTTTTTTGGTCCATTTTTTTCTTTCTAGTCTCAGTAGAGTAAGCTCACACAGCCTGCCTTGGTCCTTGGAGACTTCAAATATGAAAGTATTCCTTTTAACCCACTGAACGATTTCTCACAGCTAGTGACAGAAATGGCCCCAGGTGACAGAAATGCTTCAGTAGTGTCTACCTTGGAGTGGCACCCAGGGTTATGTGCCGGTAGGCCTGCGGATGTGAGGGCGAGAGGCAGGGAGATGTTGAAAGGGGAGGAAGAGGTCGGAGGGTGGGAGGGGTGGAGCGAAGAACTAGGCCCAGTTGCAGTCTTTTGCTTTGCTTGCCCTCTCAAGGAGCCTGGTGGCACAACGGGTTAAGCACTGGACTGCAACATCAAGGTCCAAAGTTCAAGTGCACCAGCTGCTCCAAGGGAGAAATATAAAGCTATTCGCATAAAGCATTACAAACATTTACAATCTCAGAGATTGAAGCCTGTAAGGCGCAGGTCTACTACGCCCAGAGGGTCAGATAGACTCTACGCAGTGGGTTTGGTTTTTTTGGTTTGCCTTCTTTGAGGTGGCCATGTTTAAAATGCAAGGTTCCTCTATTTACACATCCCACACTTTGCTGACCCCTCCTGGAAGGGAGGTCCAGAGAGTGCCTGACCTCATATGAAAGAGGCTCAGAAAACCACTGCAGGCCCTTGGGCAGGCTGCCTTTTCCTTGGCTCCATTGCCAAAGTTGGTTTGGGCAAGTTTCTTCACCTCTGAGCCTTGGTGTCCTCAGCTGTACAATGTGTCGATTCGAGCCCCAGCGGTACTATCCAACCTTGCTAGCTAGTCACGTGCCTTGCTACCCTGGAATAAAGACACCCATTAATGTTGCTGTAGCTATGTGCCATTGAATCCGTTTCAACTCATAGCACCCCTGTATAGGGTTTCTGAGGAGCAGCTAGTCCTGGGCTTATTGTACGACAGCTCCATGCCAGGCTTCCACTGCCTTATGTGCTAGCACTTATGTGTAACTTCTCTCTGCTACCTACCACATGTTAGGCAGTGTTTACTGTGGTAACCTGTATAATACCCCAAACCCAATCACCATTGCCTTCAAGTCAGCGCTGACCCATTGCGACCCTATAGGACAGTAGCAGCGCCCTGGAAGGTTGTCAGTCTTTATCCCATGGAGCAGCTGGCTGATGAGTGCTTTACCCACTGTGCCACCAGGGCGGGTCCATATTATTACCCAGAAATCATGAAGCCAGTAACCACAGCACTCCCATGTCCTCGGCCAGGATGGGAAGTGTCGCACGGAACTTTCTTCTGTTTCTTCCTGTCTCCCACCCACCACCAAGCTCCTAACGTCAATCCTAGGGCCAGGAAATGGAGAAACAAGGAAGGCAGAGAGATGTTGGAACCTGGGATTCCACATCTGTAAAATAATTCCTGCCCAAGTTAAAGTAAATACGATGGTGGTGGTTTGTGCCGTGGACTCGGTTCCGACTCATAGTGACCCTGTACAGGGTTTCCGAGGCTGTAAATCTTCACGGGAGCAGAACAGCTTGTAGTTTCGAACTGCTGACTTTGCAGTTCACAGCCCGATTCGTACATTATGATACCAGAGCTCCTTAAAGTAAGTATGAGTACCTGGAAGCTCTTAGAAAATTCCAAGCCTGTTCTGAAAAGTTGAATGTGAGTGGGGCTGTCTAGGAAAGGAAGCGGTGGAGAAGCCCAGTGGGGTGAGAGGGGCTGGAAGGAGGCTGTGGTAGGCAGCAGCAGTCCCATGGAACCAGTGCCCCCTGGTGGCCCACTAGAAACACTTTGTTGGTAGCCAGACCCCGAGGGCTGGGATGGATGCTTCCCAGAGGGGTGTTTGGGATAGACTAGAAGGAATCCAGAATTGAGACTGGGGAGGTAAATTAGGACTGCCTCGCCATCACCTCCCACCCAGTGCTTCCACATGGGGATCTGTGCACTGCCTACCAGTAGCATCTGCTTTGGGGACAGAGCTCTTATGGACACCCCTGTACCCAACCTAGACCCTCTTCCTCTCTCTTCTCCGGAACCTCTGTTCTCTCTGCAGGGATATCCTTAACCCTGGGCCACAGCTATAGGTGGAGATCAGTCTGGTACTGGCCATCTGGGTAGTATTGGTCTTGACCTCTGAGAGCCAACTGCACAGCCATAAAAGTAGCCTCAGCGTACCTGGTCAAAGACATATCATATATGCAAAAGTCCCTCATAACTTTTATTTAAATTTTTTTAAGTTGTGGTAATATATACACCCAACCTTCTGTTTTTATTGTGTATTGAAAGTTTACAGAACAAATTAGTTTTGCATTCAACATTTCATACAGACCTTGTTTTTCATGTGGATTGCAGTCCTCACATTGTAACATATTATCCCTGCCCTCCTCCTTCCCTAACCCTTCAGACCTCTAATGGTGCAGGTGATTGTAAGGAGTTGCTGTTCTCCTGTAGACCTGTCTCTTGTTTGGTTGGAAATTGATCAACAGGGTGAGTTCATTTCCAGCCCTGAAAGGTGACTAGAAGGTTTATGCCATAGCCTGGGGCCTTTTGAAGATTTTGAATTTTGCTCTACATTTTTCTCCTACTCTATTAGGACCTTCTAATGCGATCCCTTTCAGAGCAGTGCGTAGTGGCAGGCAGGTACCATCTAGTTCTTCTGGTTTCAGAGTCGTGGAGACTGATGTTCGTGTGGTCCGTTAGTCCACTGGACACATTCAAACCTTCTATTTTTAAAACTCTCAACCTTCCAGAAACATTAAAAGCAACGCAACAAACCACCATATATCCACACCCCCCTGGATGAGACATTTGGTGTCATTTTGTCAGGGAGTTCCTAGGGTGGCCCAGGCCCACCCCGAGGCACCGTAACAGGAGGCAGGCGCAGTCTGACTGTTCTCAGAGACGTTTAAAGCTTCATCGCTGGAGTTGTTTATTGTCAGTTCTGACTTCTTGCGTCCCTGTATAGGTTTCTAAGAGCAGCTGGTGGGTTTGAACTGCTGATCTTGTGGTTGCCAGTCCAGTGCTGATCCTACCATACCAGGACTCAATCATGGGGGCAAAGTGATGCAAACTTGTAAGCGCTGCATCCCAGGATGATAATACCATGTGTATTCTCTGCTTTTTGGTGTTTGAGTTAATGCACTTGACTGTTAACAGAAAGGTGAGAGGTTCAAGTCTATCCTGAGGCTCCTAGGAAGAAAGGCCTGGCAAACTACTGCCAAAAACCCAGCCACTGAGAACCCTACAGGGTGCAGTTCCATACCGATACACTTGGGGTCACCATGGGTTGGAATGAACTCAGTGGCAATTGATTTTCACATCAGATGATTACCCAGAAAACAGCATGGCGGGGGTGGGGTGGGGGGGTGGTCGATGAGCACTGCCCATACACCAGATCCTAATCCTGGGTCCTTAGTCCCGCAGGTGTGGGAGAAGAGAGAGCTGAGAGTGACAGGAACTGGCGAGGTGTCCTCAAGGTTCCAGGATGCTTGCAGAATCTGGCCCGTTTGACCAGGAGCAAGAGCAGCTCGGAGTAATCAAACTAGAGGAGGAAGAGGCTACTGGCCAACCAGCTCCCAAGCACCTCGAGACCAGGCTGCGACCCGAGGTGGCCCACCAGCTCTTCCGATGCTTCCAGTATCAGGAGGACATGGGCCCCAGGGCGTCCCTGAGCCGACTCCGTGAGCTGTGCGGTCACTGGCTGCGGCCGGCCCTACACACCAAGAAGCAGATGCTGGAGCTGCTGGTGCTTGAGCAGTTCCTAAGCGTGCTGCCCCCGCACCTCCTCAGCCGCCTACAGGGGCAGCCGCTCAGGGATGGGGAAGAAGTACTCCTGTTGCTGGAAGGAGCGAGGCTGGAGGCCGGCAGCAGCGTGGGGCCACTGGTAAGACGATGGTGGGCAGTCTGGGGACATAGGGACTTCATTGTCCCTTGAGGAAAGAGCGCCATCGCTGATCCATTTCCACATTTAAACCTTTTCTCAGTAATCTGCTTGCTGCAGATTGAAAAAAAAAAAAGCATGCAGGCTGTCAACAGGTTATGAATTTACAGACAACTTGCTAGGTGTCATCACATGGGTTCCAGCTCATACCATGAGATCGAAACCCTGCCAGTCCTTTGCCATCCCCACACCGCTCCCATGTGGGAGCCCTGTCAGTCCATCTTGTTTAGGCTCTTCCTCTTGTGCTGATTCTTTACCAAACACGATGTCCTTCTCCAGGGACTGGTGCCTCCTAATCACACATCCAAAAGACATGACTTAGGAAGTCTCTTGAGTCATCGTAGTCGCTTTTTTTTTTTTTTTTTTTTTTTTTTTTTTCAAGTTATGTAAATTTGCCCTCACTTTGAAATGATTGAACCATCCCATCTATTCCATAGGGTCCGTTCTGACTCAGCGACCCCATAGGACAGAATTCCTTAGAGTTTCTGAGACTCTAAATCTGTATGGGAGCAGCCAGCCTCATCTTATTTCTCATCAGAGAGGCTGGTGGGTTTGAATTTGCCAACGTTGCAGTTAGCAGCCCAACACCTAACTCACGGGCACCACCAGGGCTTCTGTTTCTTGCCCTAAAGTAAGGCTAAATCAGAACTCTATGCACCTGTTCCAATTTAGCTACAAAGTTTTTGAGAGCTAGGAACTGATCTGCTTCGTAACCTGGGGCTGGCTGTAAGTTTTGTTAATGATGACAAGATACACAGTGGAATGTATGCCGCCATTTCAGAAGTTTCTCCATGTGCATTTTATTCATGGAGTTGGCTAACCATTCTCAGCCTCTTTTCTGAGTTGTTCCAGTGAACAGAAACTCACTTGTTCCCTAACACTTTAGATTTTTTGGTATTTTTTCACCTAGTAAGTCAGTTCCCTTCGACTCCTACTTTACTAATGATATCAAATGTCTTTTTTTTTCCTCTACATTTATAGAAATGATCAGAGTCGCGGGGTGGTGCAAATGGTTAATAACTTTCCTGAAACACCGAAAGGTTAGGGATTTGAATTTTGCCCCAGAGGCACCGCAGAAGCATGGCCTGGCGACCTGTTTCAGACAAAGCAGCCATTGAAAATCCTGTGGTGTACAGTTCTACTCTGACTCTCACGGGGGCACTGTGACTCAGAATGAACTCTGCACCTCTTTATTTATAGTTTTGTTTTTATAGAAATGATTATATGTCTTTTGTCTTTGAATCTAATGTTAAGTGCTGTCGAGTTGGTTCCGACTCATAGTGACCCTGTATAGGTTTTCTGAGGAGCAGCTGATGGGTTTTATCCACCCACCTTGTGGTTCGCAGTCCGGTGCTATCAGTGCTGATTATAGCACCATACCAGGAGTTGGGTTTAAATCTTTGCAGAAGCAGAAAGATTAATCTTTCGCCCACAGGGCAGCTGGTGGGCTCAAACTACTGACCTTGTAGTTCACTTTCCACCATGTTCCTTTAATCTAATGTTGTTGTTGTTGTTGTTAAGTGCCGTCAAGTCAATTCCGACTCATAGTAACCCTGTATAGGGTTTCCAGGGAGTAGCTAGTGAGCTTGAACCACTGATCGTGCGGTTGAACTGGACTTTGCAGTCCTGTGCATTAACCCACAGTGCCATACCAGGACTCTTTGATCTAGTACAGTTTGTTAATTATGAATTCTTCTGACTGATTCGTATTTGAATTTGTGGCATAAGTTCTATTAATGAATGATTTTTTTGTTGTTTAATTACCACTGGGTTTAATCTGCTAGGATTTCGTTTAGAATTTTTTTAACTGTTTTTGTGTGGTAGAGTCACATTTTCTCTCTTCTGTCATTCTTGCCAGATTTTGAAATCAAAATTCACTTTATAAAATGTTCTTGTTTTTCTTCTGTGAAACACAGATATAAACTAAGGATTTGTGTTTATTAAAAGTTGAGTGAGGCTTTTTTTTCCCTCCCAATGAAGGGGAAAGTCCCATTGATTAAGGGTAACCATTCTACAGCCAGTTAGTGCCACTGATGCCAATAAATTGTACACCTGTCAAAAGTTGAATTGGCAAATGTGTGATAGGTATGTTTACAACAACAACACAATAAAAGAGCTTACTGAGGCTGCTTTGCACAATGACAACAAACATGTAAAACTTGTCTATAAAAAAAAAGAAAGAAAGAAGCCTCCCTTTCCTCTATCTGCCCATTCCTTCTTATCCTCCTGCCTCCTTCCTTGTCTCTCTTACCTAACCACTGGCCTGTTCCCCTTTGGACTCAGCAGAACAGGAACCCATGTTTCCCCTGGATGTGTATTTAACAGGATTTTAGCTTTAATGCCAGCAAGAATTACTCCGGTACAGATGTCACCTTGGAAGAACAAAAGGGCCCTTCCCACGTCCCCAGTCAAATCCCCAAAGTGGAAACATTCACAGAAGAGCCTCCAGTCGCGGGTCCACTGATGGAAGCGCCCTCATCCCAGCCAGAGGACACCAAGCCTGCTGAGCCAGAGCCCCGGCTATTCAGTCCAAGCTCAAAGCAGCCACAGAGTCCTGGTCCTGAAAGACCTTTCCAGACTCTCCAAGAAAGGGGTGAGGAGCTGGCACCCAGAAAGGTGGTGGGCCGATGGTGTGGGTGGGGGCTGTGCAAGGACTGGCGAGCTTTCTAATTGGCCAGGGTGGGAGAGCTCCCAGTGGCTCTGATGGAGCAGTGATGGTGGGGCACCTGTCTCTGCCACCACCTGGTGGGCAAAGCTGACTTCTAACAGCGCTTCCTTTTCTTCTCAACGTGGGCAGCGCGTCCAGGCCCTGTGCTGTGGCCACAGAATTCTCAAGACCAAGAACTGGCCGCTGTGTTGGTAAGCCGGGCTGCTTCCCCCACCCCAGGTCATTCCCACCTTCCAGAACTTTCCTATCCTTTGTGGTTTTCACAAATCCTTACCTTCTTTACTTGAGACCTAGAGCCCAATGCACACTCCCAGGCCCCATTCGTTCTTATTTATCCAGGCTCTCTTCTGGTTGTAGGAGTCCCTGACCTTTGAGGATGTCCCCAAAAAGAAGGCCCGACCTGTGTACACTGTAGGTAAGAAGTCATTTCAAGTTACAGCCACTGAAGCCTCCTTCTTCCCTGGGGAGGGGGCGTAAGGATGTCAGGGTTGATAGCTAAAGCTCCAGACTATTTGGTATTTTTGGCTTTTGTTTTTTTTAAGGAGCCCTGGTGTCAAAGTGGTTTAAACATCGGGCTGCTAATCCCAAGGTTGGCGGGTCAAACCCACCAGTCGCTCCTCAGGAGAAAACTGAGGCTGTCTGCTCCTCCAAAACCCGTAGGAGCAGTTCTACTCTGTCCCCTCGGGTCCCTGTAAGCCAGAATTGAGTGAGTGGGTGGCAGTCGGTGGGTTTGATTTTGTTTATTTTTAAAAAAGGTTTATTGTGTCTGGTCTAATCAGCAGCTGCTTTCTTTGAGCTTTTTTAAAATCGTTGATGGAGGGAGTGACTGCTTATTGAAGCAGTGTTGGGAGAGTTCTGGAATTAGTGGTTGGGCACTGAGTTGAACATGTAAATGTTTTCTTTCTACCTAGGCCAGTGAAGGTCTGGCTGTTCGTGGGAGCCCCTCTGAGTAAGCCTGACCCTCCCTGTTTTCTGCTTCCTCTCCAGGATCTGAGAGCAGGACTCAAAACAATGAAGAGTTTAAACTAAACCAGGCCAAAGGGGCTGCCTGGCCCCCCACCATCTTGGGAGTGTCACAGGCAAATAGTTCCGGGGAGGCAAACGACCATAAGACCCAGGAACCCTGCCGGAGCCCTGGAGTGGACCACACTCCTGGGGGAGAGTCCCCACCTGACAAGGCTGAGGTTGTGGAAGCCCCAGAAACTGGAGCGCAGGCGCATCCCAAGCCTGCGTCTGATATGCAGTTCATCTGCACCCAGTGTGGGGCGAGCTTCCCGAATATGGCCCACCTGGAGGCGCACCACCTGCACTCGCACACCGGGGGGCGCTCCTTCCTATGCCTGTGCTGCGGTAAGAGCTTTGGGCGCAGCTCCATTCTCAAACTGCACATGCGCACGCATACGGATGAACGACCACATGCCTGCCACCTGTGTGACCACCGTTTCCGCCAAAGCTCACACCTGAGCAAGCACCTGCAGACACACTCGGAGCCTGCCTTCCTGTGCGCAGAGTGTGGCAAAGGCTTTCAGCAGCGGGCCAGTCTCATGAAGCACCTGTTGGCGCACGCACGGGACCAGGGCCAAGATCAGAAGTCACCCTGTGCTCCTGCGGAGCCCAAGACCGAGTTAAATGTCGTCCTGTGTTCTCACTGTGGCCAAACCTTCCAGCACCGTTCCAGCCTCAAGCGCCACCTGCGCATCCACGCCAAAGACAAGGACCACCAGTGCTCCGAGTGCGCCAGCAGCCTTCGACCGGTCCCTGAGCGCAGGCCCTACGTGTGCGACATCTGTAGCAAGGCCTTTCGGCGCAGTGAACACCTCGTGGCGCACCGGCGTGTGCACACGGGCGAGCGTCCCTTCTCCTGCCAGGCCTGCAACCGCAGCTTCAGCCAGAGCTCACAACTGATAAGCCACCAGCGCCTGCACACCGGCGAGAAACCCTACCCCTGTTCACAGTGCGGGAAGCGTTTTGTGCGGCGCGCCGGCCTGGCACGCCATCTGCTGACCCACGGCGGCGCCCGGCCTCACCACTGCGCCCAGTGCGGCAAGAGCTTCAGCCAAACGCAGGACCTCACCCGCCACTGGCGCAGCCACACGGGCGAGAAACCGTGCTGCTGCACCCAGTGCGGTGAGCGCTTCAAACAGAGTGCGCATCTGACGCGCCACCAGCGCATCCACTCTGGTGAGAAACCCCACGCCTGTGACACCTGCGGCCACCGCTTCCGTAACAGCTCCAACCTGACCCGCCACCAACGCAGCCACACCGGGGAGCGGCCCTACAGCTGCCCGACGTGCAGTCGAAGCTTCCGGCGCAACGCTCACCTGCAGCGGCACCTGGCCACTCACGCAGGGGCTGAGGAGGAAGCTGGGGCAGAGGCAGCTGGGGCAGGGGCAGAGGCGTCTGGGGCTCCGGCTGAGGCCCCCCAGGAGTGCTTGGAGTGCGGCAAGAGTTTCAGCCGCAGCTGCAACCTGCTGCGGCACATGTTGGTGCACAGCGGGGCAAGGCCCTACTCCTGCCCGCAGTGCGGCCGCAGCTTCAGCCGCAACTCCCATTTGCTGCGCCACCTGAGGACCCACGCCCGAGAGATACTGTACTAGCGTAGCTGATCCCGCCATGCCTCGCTGGCTACCCCCCCCTGGCCCACACCACTCTAAAGCCCTCTACTCTCCTGTCTGTGCCCCACCTTCGTTCCCTCCCCCAAAGCATCCCCTTCTGGCCTCAGGTGTCCTTCAAAACGCCCAAAGTAAATGACCTTCTGCCAAGTGGTGGTGGTTAAGTCCCGTCATGTCAGTTCTGACTCAAGGCGGTCCTGTTTAGGGTTCTGAGGAGCAGCTGGTGAATTTGAACCCCAGGCATTGCTGTTCAAGCTGACCTTGTGGTCCAGTGCTTATCCTATAATGCCACACCAATACTTCAACATAAATAAAGAGGTTCTACTCCTTCTGGCTTGTGGTGGTTGTCAAATGCTGTTGTTCAGCTCTGACTCATAGTGACCCTGTGTAGGGTTTTCAAGGAGCAGCTGCTGGGTTTGAACTCCCACTTTGTAGTGCCACACCAGGGGCGGGGGGTCCATACAGCCTCACAGGATTTCAAAATTTATTCTTTATGACTTCCGCCACTGTATTTGCCACTGTTCTTAGTCTCATCCCTACAAATTGGTTTATCTCTGAAAGGTAAAACTTCTTTATTTTTTACAAAAAATCACTCATTCATCTTCCCACTGTGTAAGGAATGCCCCAGCACTTTGTCCAGGAGGCTGTGTGAAAGTTGCTAAGGAAGTCCTTGCTGACCCAGGAGTATGCATTTATTGAGCACCTACTGTGTGCTGCCACCGCCTGCTGTGATGCAGAAGCTATGCATGAGTAGTTCCAATACCAGCAGCAACACAGTCGGACTAAGAAGAAAGACCTGGTTATCTACTTCAGAAAACTGGCCAGTGAACATGTTATGGATCACTACAGAACGGACGGTGGTGTAGGACCAGGCAATGTTTTGTCCAACTGTTGTTAAGTGTCAAGTTAATTCCAACTCACAGCAACTACATATAAGGTTTCCAATGAGCGACTGACTGGTGGGTTTGAACTGCTGATCTTAAGGTAAGCAGTCCAGTGCTTGTACTACAGTACCACACCACCCTGCGCCAGACACCTCCTAAGCAACACAAGACATCATGACTGCAAACCCAGGAACATAATGACTAGTGTCCCCATTTACTGATAAGGAGGGGTCAAGCATGGGTCACCAGTAGAGACCCCTGCCTGGGTGCTCCCTACCTACAGCCTCTGAAGACTGGGCCAGCAGCCCTGCCCACCCTCCCACCTGTCAGTCACAGACTGGGCCAGCAGCCCTGCCCACCCTCCCACCTGTCAGTCACAGACTGGGCTCACAGCCCTGCCCACCCTCCCACCTGTCAGTCACAGACTGGACCCGCAGCCCTGCCCACCCTCCCACCTGTCAGAAGGCTCCAGGGTCACTCCTTACTCTCATCCAACCTTCAACGCCTGCTATGGCTGGACCACCAGATGGACACCAGTGATTCCTTCCTCTTCGTTATACAGAAGTCTCAGCAGACTAAGCTGAATTAAGTGAAGGCAAGGAAGGGGCTGATGGAGGGTGACACTTCAAAGCAGGAGGCAGTACTGAGTGTGTGTCAGAGAGAAACAGGTTTAGGGCCATATGAAAGGTGAGGACACCTTGGGCACTCATCTTGGTCCTTTTAGTCTCAGAGCTGCCAGGAAACAGCTGCTAATGAGAAAATAAATATGCATTCTTTAAGAACAAACAAGATGGCGGATCGGGTGGACATGCAGTGAGGAGCTCCATCAGCAACCACACAGAATACCCAACAAGCAGGCTCAGGGGCTGGTCCCAGAACTCTGAACC